TAGACCTACGACCGTAGACCGCGTAACGCGTACGCGACGTACGCGAACNCGGACTCGACGTAGACGACGAGACGAGAGACGAGAGANNNNAGAGAGAGAGAGAGAGAGAGAGAGATTTTTGTTTATTTTTCAAGAAATCCAAGATATTTGGTTATACCTGTAATTCTTCATTTCCCAACCAGAAAGATCGGCAACTTCTTTCAAGGCATTTTTCCACTTCTGAATCGTCGCCTCATCAATCCCATTCTTACTTTTGTGATCCACAAAAGCTCCATCGAAAGGCCCCTTTTGCCAGCGAACATGAGAAGGCTCCACATCATAATACACAGGAAGGACAAGCGTCACCCTCGGCAAGCTCAGTAAATAAGAGAGCTGGTCAAGGCAGAAGAAAGAGGGGGGGAAAAGATAGGTATAAACACCTCGCACCGTTCAATTGCTCTCTGTATAGTAGTGGGTAGTTGTTGTGTGGGTGAAAAGAAGAAGGTGGAGATAGCAGAATCAATGAGAGCTTTGTTGAGATGGGCTGTGAAGCTCTTTCCTGTGTCTTCATCACACAAGTTCAGGAAAACTGCCATCGGACTTCATGTGACTTGGGACATTCAAGATGCGACTCGCTATTTCTAAGCCTTAGCAGATGAAGCTTCAAGGAGATTTCCTAAAAAAAAAATAAAAATTTCAGCTTGAATTTGATGGGGGAGAAAAGAGAGCAAGTTGCATGTATCATAAGTAGCAAAGTCAGCGCTTACCTGCCCAATATTAAATGAGAATCACGGAGTCATTCTAGCTTTTGAAAAACCAAAATCAGGGTAGTTTTTGAAAAACCCAAATTAAAAATGGGTAGTTTTTTTTTTTAAAAAAAAATTGTTAATCATATAAAATGTTTACTGTTTTTACATAATGTGAAAATAGTAAATACCAGTGGTTCTACACCTTATATTTTTTCTAAGGAGATTCTCTGCACATTGTTTAGGCTGTGGGGTAGAGAGAGAAAGAGAGATTTTTTTGATTTTGCTCAAGAAAAATCCAAGATAACTGCTTATACATGTATTTTCTTCATATCCCAAATATCCCAACCAGAAAATTGAGGAACTTCTCTCAAGATAATTGGTTATATATGTATGCATTTCAGTTTTGTATGCTCTCAACTTGGTTAAAAAATGAGATGCATACAAGACTGACGAGAATACTCTCATTCTTGAATCTTTGAGTTGCAGACTCGTTCAATATCACGGTTACAGGTTTGTTCTTAACCATGAACCGAAAATGCTATCGTGAATTCCCACCAACTATTTTGAATAAGGCTTTGCGAAACCGTACCACACACCTTTCTCAATCACGGAGCCACCCTCTATTATAAGCAGTGGCTCTTTAAAAACGCAGCAATGAATTCGTGCTGAAAATGAATCTGATCATTGGGACCTCATGACATTTAACAAAAGGTTTTCATTAAATTTTCATCATCGTAGATACTAGGGAACAAATGAACTTTTAGAGAAATAGGGGATGTAAAATGGCCGTGATTTTTGTTTGTTATTAAAAATTCTCTTACTCACTCCAAGCCATCCAATTTCACTCGTCAAATTTTTTTTTTTTTTTAAATGTTTTGAATTGTATTATTGGTTATAATGATACTTTTTTTTTTTGTTAAATTTGATGTAGTTATTATCTAAAAATTTTCAAGTACTATCTCGCTCTAAAATTTGATATACATTCGCTATCTAAATTTTTTTGATAGTTTCTCTCTAGAAATTAAAATTTGGGATAGTTTCTGTCTTTAAAATTTGATGTAGTTTCACTCTCGGATGATTTTAAGATAGTTTCTCTCTCAAAATTTTGAAAAAGTTTATCTTTCTAAAACATAAAATTTGATATAGTTTCTTTTCTAAAAATTTTCAGGTACATTCTCTTTTTAAAACTTAAAATTTGAGATTGTTTCTCTCTCTAAAAATTTCCGAGTACAATCTATTTTTAAAACTTAAAATTTGAGATTGTTTATCTTTACGGATTTTAAAATAGTTTCTCTATCTAAAATTTAAAATTTGAGATAGTTTTTCTCTCTAAAGTTTTTTGAGTATTTTTTCCTCTAAAATTTTAAGATATTACCTCTCTTTAAAACTTAAAATTTGAGATAATTTCTTTTTCTAAAATTAGATATAGTTTCTTTCTCTAAAATTTTAAGATACTTTCTATCTTCCTAATACTTAAAATTTGAGATAGTTTTTCTCTCTAATTCATGGGGTGTTTTAGTGGAATTGATTATTTTATAAAGTATGCGTCTCAGTAACATGGAAATCCGGCTAGAAATCAATTTATAAGGGTGAAAGCAAGGATACATATTTCTATATTTTTGACTTAAAAATGAGGAAAATAATTTTAGATGAAAATGCTTTTCTATCTCAAAATTTCTATAAATGTACCATCCGCACGAAAAAACTATTTCTCAAAATGTATTTCTAAGTTTCAAACGGCCCCTTAGTCATGTCATCCAAGAGTGACAAAATGGCATGAGGCTTTCTAAGGAGCATAAACCGAAAGTAATCAAACACTTTGCTTCGTCACTCTTTTGACTTCCAAAAAAAAGCAAAGAAATTAGAGCCCAACTCTTTTGACATGGTTTGAATTTTCTACACATATATACTTTTCCAATACTTTTTTATTCATACCATAAAGCTCATTATTATTTCCTTCAGCATTCACCCTTTTGGATGAATTTTTTACCTCATTTTAGAAGATATATTTTAAGGCTGGTTCGACATTTGGAAAAGTTCTTAGAGCCAAGGTCCATGCTAACAGTTAAACGGCCTCAAACAATTTTAGTTCTGACTGAAAAAAGAATTTTGATCCAAGATGACTAAAAAATTCAGCTAGGACGAGGAACGCAAAAGATAAACGGAAACAAACACAAGTTTATGGCATAAATGAGAGAACAATTGTTTTGGTTGGAGAGGGGGTGGGGCCTATATGCATGTAATTTGGTGGAGGGAGTTTTTTATAATTTTTACTTTAGTCAATTAATAGAAGTTATGAGATGATTTATTTTTTGGTACAAAAAACCCCAACAATTATCTTTAATTTATCGGATGGGAAATCCAACAACTAAAACTATGTCACATGGTTCGAGAGATGTTACTTAAACTTTATGCTGAGTTCACGACGTACCTCCAATTACTCTGAGTTGACAACTAGCAATCACTAATGATTTTGACCCCTTTATTCTAAAAATAAATAATCTTATTATATGTATTCCTATTTTTATTAATGTTACAGTTTTTTGTTAACATATTAAATTAACATCAAGATCCTACTATTCCCTCCAAACTTCAAAATTACAAGTGGAAAGCCTTCCTCCCTACATTTTTTTTAACTGCAATTGCTCATCTTTGCCCTCAGCAAAAGTGCTAATCCCACAAATTTTTTTTTTTTTTGGGTGGTTCAGCCGTAGGAAACAAACTTGAGATACCTCGCCATATGAAATTTGCCCCATGGTGTGAATGCGGTAGAAACTCACCGGGGATGGCGAGTGGCACAATTTCAAAACTATATGAATTATTGTTTATTTTAAAATATCGCAACATGGAAAAGTTGAAAACAATTTTCTGATTGGAAATAAGATTTTAAAATAAATGAGCAAAATACCTATAATAGTTTCTAGGATTCTTTGGTCATTTAAAATTTTTAAAAATATTTTTAAGGTATGTCAGTGAGATGATGACAAAAACTAAATTTCATGTTTATATGGTTTGTTGAAAAAAAACATTAAAAATAAAATACTCGGAAACAATGAAGCTATCTCAGCAAACCATTCAAATCGGATAGCTAGGAGAGAGTGACATATATGAATTCCAATTCTAAGCTTTACCTTCTCCAAATACTGTACTCTCTCTCCCTCTCTCTCAATATTTCCTTCTTCGCATTCTATTTCAGGCCATTTTAACAACGTTCAATACTTACAGCAAAGTCATGTACGAGGATGATATTCACTTGGGAGCTCATCAACAAAGCTGAATGCCCATCTGACCCTAAGGAAACGCTTTCCACGCCAAAAAATACACCTTTCTGATAATTTTTTTTTCAGAAAGACCATTCTCCCTTCATTATTTGTCTATGTTATTTGATTTTTGAACACGTTGATTTATTGATGAATAAGTGAAATACTGATGGAATCATCATCATCATCTTAACCTTCTCTCAATTATTTAGGGTCGGCTACACAAATCCTAATCCGCATATACTGTGTGAGTGAAATATTGATGGAATATGTATAAATTATTCAGGCATGGATTGAAGAGATGGTAGCGTATGTGAAATCAATAGATCCCAACCATCTATTGGGGGTAGGGGTTAAGAACTTCGGGCTTTTATGGACTGTCCAACCCTAATAGAAGTGCGTTCAATCCCAACCATTATGCTACCGAATTGGGCACCGATTTCATAAGAAACAATGGGGCAGTGGGGATTGATTTTTCTACTGTGCACATTTATCCGGATACATGGTAACCTCATGTCCCTTCCCTACTCTCTATTGAAAATATTTCATTTATTGATTAGTGTTTTAGAAAAAATTAACATTAACTGAAAAATAGTACAGTATACAAGAAAACTACTCATTATTTGTACAAGAATGCCACAATCATTTTGAACAGCCAGATGTGAAACTAAGCAGCAGGGTTTCTCTTATTGATTAGGCTAAAAGTCCAAAAGCAATTCTTTGAAATTTTGTAGCGCACTCCAACCCATCCAATTTTACATCTAATGATAAGGGATTATTATATCATTTATGTACCAAAAAGTAAATAACCTATAGCATACCATCCCATAAGATATATGGCGGGAATGCATGATGAGTTTATCACCAACCGATCTAGGACACATCATGATAATGAGTTTATCACCATCCCACCTGTAGGATGTTTGGTGATGGAGGGAAAGCATGTGTAAGAGAGAATATAGAATCAAAATGAATATATAATTTATTTTTTATATTTTATTTATTTGATGGGATTAGGTTAAGGAAACTAAAAGATAATGTTTGAAGACCTTCAGTTTAATCATGATGGCTAATCTAATGATTGGAAGACTAAGATCTCTCACCTCACAGGTTTCCTATAATCAATGGTCTGGATCTATTCTCCATAAGGATGGCTAACCCTAAGAAACCCTAACCCTAGAGATATTTTTGTATCTCTATATATGTTATAGAAAATTATTTTGAAATTGTTTTAAAATATGAGGAATTGTACAATGTGCTATTAATCATTTTTCTACGTATTTTTTCTTTTTGAAATTGCCATACTAGTTTTTACAAATTTATACTATAATTAGGCTTACCTTTGGTACGGACACGTCACAATCACTCATGGCCTTCATACGTGAAATCTAATTGCTCAGCTTTTGTCATCAAAAGTTCTTTTGAAATTGTGAATTTGTCAAATATATGCATGGTTGCGTGTTTGTGTATGTAAGCACGCTTATACAAGGTACATAATTATATATATTTTGATACCAACTATTTGGGGTCGGCTAACAATGTATAACTATGTACAACCATATATACACTTGTTATCTTGATCGGGTCGTATAATAAATCCCAACTATTTGGGATCGGAACTCAAGTGTTTGGTAATATTTAATTTGCTCATAGAACATGTGAGTACCTAAATGAATTAGATGAATCAAAGATGTAGTTTTTAGTCATGCTTTGGTATGTGGCTCTATTATCAGGTATATGTGTATAGATCGTTGTTCTTAATGCGATTGTTAATAAGAGTTGAAGTACGTTTTATATGGATGCTGAAAAATTAAGATGCACCTAACACATTAATGTATTAATACGCGCATGCTTGTTCTTTCTCTATTTGGTTGTAACTCTTGTATGTATAATATGGAACTCCACAATTTATTCCACGCATTAATAATGGTGGTTGTAAATAGTCTTTTCCCTGGAACCCGTTAGCAACTAGTCGTGAGGCAAAATTACTTAAATACCTTTTTCGGTGTTTTTGTTTTTGCCCCCAATGATGCACCGCATATGCACTATGTGCAATGCGGCCACAACCCACCAAGGGGCATATGCACTATTTTGTGATGCACCTCTGGAGGCATAGTCTTTGATGCGGTGATGCGACGGCATTTCAAATATTGGCTTGTTGTTCTTTAGTTGTAGCAGTTTTCCTTTGAATTCTTCATAATATATTTGCTTTTCCACATCAATAAAAAAAAGATTTGGAGTTGTGTAATCTTCCCATATTAAACAAAATTCTCTATTGGAGTTATCTGTTTACACTTATCAGTAAAGGAAAAGGAGGCTCATGTTCCTAGTTTTTGCACCATTTCATGGTTGGTAGGTTTTTCAGTGCGAGTTGTATCCCAGTGTGGAGGATTGCATCAATGTGTATGTGGAGCGTTGTTTTTGTTTTGATTTCTTTATTTGTAAAAGGGTGATGGAAGAATAGGGAATGATGATGGGTTTTTCACTTTTTGTTTCTTTTTATTTTTTGGTTGATTTGTATAGGGGGGAATATGAAGCAAAAGAAAATGCGGATGAGGTGGGCATGTGTTTTTCTTCTTTTTTTTTTTATGATTTTTTTTCCACTTTTTTAGTGATTGTTCCTTATATGTTTGAAATTTGTGGGATGTTGGCAAAGGGATGTTATTCTAAATTATAGCTTAACTAACAAATGTGCAGCGCATTTCGCGTGTTCTAAGCACTAAAACACTAAATAAACAACATTATACAAAATTGATTGTGTTGATATGCCAAATCCTCAGCTTATCCAACCAAGAAGGGAATAAAACAACAAAAAATGAACAGAAGTTAAGCTGAGGGATTAGCCATCCACACAAATTGCTTTGAAACCAGCCATAGCTATGTATGGCTTGCACTACAATAATGTTTAACATACTCCTGCTTTGCGACATCTTTTCAATTCCCTAAAGTGGTGGTGATCCTGATGCGGGATGTGAACAATACCAGTCTGCTCTTCTACCTTGTCAATCAAAACTTTCAACAACGGAACCTTTGAGAGCGTTTTACACGATCCCACCATTATCAGCTTTTTCTGTGCCATCCAGATGCATTCATTCGCATATCAAAAACAATAATGCAAGCCATTCTATATCACTGAGGAATCGGAAATAGAAACTTTGTTGGCTTGAGAGAGAGAGAGAGAGAGAGTAGCCTTAATGGTATCTTAAATGTACCTTGGCTCGTGTGATAGCAACGTTTATTCGGTGCCAGTCCCCCAGCAGCGAAAACCTGCCGAACCAGTTCTCATTTGACCTTACAAATGAAACCACTATGCAGTCCTTGTCCCTTCCCTGCTCAAGCACAGAGGTTAACCACTTCCCCAACCCCAACCCATCTGTAAGAAAGGCAGAAAATATATACCTGATATTTGTCAATGGTGTGTATCTCAACTGATGTCACATCTATGATATGCCGGATGAGATCAACTTGAGAGTTGTATGGGGCTATGATCCCAATCTCATTGCCATCCACACCTCCAACCAGTAATTCTCTTGTTATCTGCAAGAGTAAATGGTTGGGTTGGGTAAATAAGCTCCTGTCCCAAACATATGCACCTTGGAAGAAGTAAAGAGAGGAACTTGGACTTCACAGTCCTCTATATATTGATACATACCTCGGAAACAATTTGAGCCTCTGAGGGGTTGTTCATAGATTTGTTTTGTTTTGCTTCAGGGGCTGGCAAAGAATCTATAGAATGGTGGAATGGTTTGGTGACGATCATGTGCATGACAGTTTATATGAAATCTGTACAGAGACTGCAGCAAAAACTTTCGTACAGAAACTTACCTGTGTTGATAAAAATTACTGGTCGGTTGGGGTCTAATGCCTGCATAGAGATTAAGGGATTACAAGTGCACATAAAATGTATCAGAGTGTACATCTCTAGAGGTGTTTAGCCTGCCTACCTCCTTGATCCAAGATTTAACTGATATTGAAGTTGAAACCATCAGCTTAGCATTCGCAACTTCAGATGAGCCACACTGTAACCGGTGCCCATATATAAGGGCATTAGCGAGTACCACAATATCGGCACACATGCGGTACTGCCAATGACAATGTGTTGAAAATATATATCACTAACAATAAAACTTCTTTTCAGAGATAAACAGGTCTTTGGTTCCAGAAATCAGGTCACAGTAATTAACCAACCTGACGTTGCAAAGTGGAAATTGCTTGAGGATGCATTTCAGATAGCCTGCAGAACAAGCTCACCCCCATTCCATTCTCCCGTGCCTCTATGTTCTAACAATCACATAAATATGCTTGTAGCTGAATATAGACTTCGAGGCCGTTGGTTTTCTAAACATTTACACACATTTTTCTTTTTGCTTTTGCTGTTAGTGAGAGGTATTTAAAACATTATACCTGAACAAGTGGAGGTAGCTGGTAATGGTCTCCAACGAGCACGAAAGTTGAAGCCAACATCAACGGCCCTAAAGAGACCTAGATATCAAATCAATAAGTATAACAGCTGCAACCAATCTTCTTTGAATCATGCACGGTATAGTGCATGAAAGTCTCAAAATAAGGTATGGAGAAAGAAGTAACAATAGCTTATATAATGCAACATCCTCCAGGGTGAAATGGATTAGGAAATGCAAAATATTACTATTTCCAGCAAGCATTACTATTCATAAATATTAGTAAAGAGAACCAGCAAACCAATGAGCAATAAGAATCACATAACATGAATAGAGCATATAATTATGATAGCTCAGAGGGCAATAGTGCTAAACCACACAAAAAGGCCAATTCAACCCTATCATGATCGATTTTAAATCGATTCTCTGAGGTTTCCCAGGTTTAAAGGTCGATTGTTCAAACCAGTTCAGTCCAATCATTGCAATACAAATTTAGTAAATTAGAACCAATATCTATGCTGGCTAGTTTCTGAATGTTGTGACAAAGGATAGCTGGTAAATATGGTGGCAGGGACGGCCAGATTAAGCAATATAACTGGCAAACGGGAAAACATACATGCAATACATAATTTGGGATGTCAACAAAAAAGTAAAAAAGTCATTTTTCTTCTCAAACTACTCTTTTTGGTGTAGTAATCAAGAATGGCTGGCTGAAAACTATGATTATTGAATAAATACAATTAACAATTTGCGCATTACTTATGTTGAGATATGATGACAGACAAACGTACTGGTAAAGTGATCTGCCCGGCTTCATCCATTATGCATACATCAAACTTCTTGTTTGCGAGCAATGGGTGTGTTATCCCTGAGCAAGTCACTCCAACTACACGGGCTTGGTCCATTTTTAATTTCATATCTTCTACACTTCTGATGTTCATAGCTGTCAGTAAGGTAGGGAATTAGATGCATGTATTATTGCTCAACAGAATCCTTGAAGAATGAAGAAACACAAAGGTATTCAAGAACCTGCAACAGAATACTGTTTAATTTCATCATGAATGGCTGCATCTCTTCCAAGACGTATAAAATCAATTCCCTGCGACATATGGTAGATACATAGTTAAATACAAGAAATTGAGACATACAAAATGAGAAAATATACAAGACAAACAAGTCAGATGATAACATTGAAGTTGTTTAGCTATATATTAAGAACAAATGAAGTAGGAATGGCCCATTTGAATGAGCATTTTTCGAAATATCTACAGTATTGACATTACAAACAAGTAAAGCTGAAGTCAAAAGTGTATTGGGACACTGCACTACATGACAGTCTTCACCTAGCTAATCCTGCATTTGTATTAGATTTGTCATGTAAACATCATAAGGGAACTTATGTCCACAACAAACTTAGTGGACAATGCGCATGCAAACCTAATTGGGAGATTCTTGCAAACTATTAGCCCTGAAACATAATTCATCATAATATTATTAAAAGACAAGCACAGTTACTTCCCGTTGATCCAACGAGATACCGAAACGCAAGGCAAACGTTAGAAACAACAATTAAACAAAACAACCATATCAAACTTAATAAGAAAGTAAAACTATGACGCGTAGAGTCATGATTCAAGAAAGTCCTCTGTAAATTGTTAGCACACAAAGAAGGCATGAAATTCCTTGCTGGTTTTCGAGAATAAATACTTGTTTCACCGTATCGTAATAAAAGACAGATGGCTCTTAAATACTTGCTTCACTGTATCTTAATAAAAGACAGATGGCTCAACAAGCTGCATCAAAAAAGAGCATACCGATTTTATTTTTTAGAAGACAAGGTAATGCAACTCAAGCAGTACTGTGTAAGATGATCACATAACCTGAGTTTTCAATTTGACAAGCAAATTATCAACAGCTGAATTCGTGTACGACGTCAGCAAAATGGAAGAACCTCGCATCAACAATGCCTTCACAGCATGAACAATAGTAGAAGTCTTGCCCGTTCCAGGCATACCAAGAATAAGTGCATAATCCCTGGCTGCAAGTATCTGGATAAATGAAATAGCATGACAGAGGGACATTAGATGAACAAAAGCAATTCTCAATAAGGAAAACTTTTCAAATTAAGTCACAGAAGCCCATAAAAACCAATGCACCATGAGTGCTATGTTACCCAGGCACTATTAACAAGCTAAGTGTCCATTCCAACACCAGCAGTCCCAATATATATAATTGATGATTTACGTACGTTATCAAGATAAGACCCAACTATTCAGTATTTAGCTCATTCGCAGGGTGGGAACAGGCCTAGAGGCATCCCACCTGATTCGTGACAAGGCCACTGAAGTGTCCAAATGCCAACCCTAACAATGTTTTTCCTTGATTAAAAGCAAAACCACAGAAAAGTCTGATAAAAGAAATAAATTATTCCGAAACAAGAAAACTGATGAAGGAAGAAGAGCCAAAAGTGGGGGTCAGAAAAATTACAAAAAATTTTTGGAGTGATTGATTGAATATCATTCATCTGCACAAGCCATATCTAGTTTATTATAGAAAATCAACCATAACATTAGGATTCCTTACCTTGATCAATTTCAATAACACAATTTGACTTTTTACTTTGGTTTCATTAATATAAGGTATTTTTGTAATTCTTAACTACAGAAAATTCAAAGATGCCCATGGTCATTGCCATATCCAGCATTCATTCGTCCAGGCAAGATAGATTATGGCATATGAGAATGATATTTCAACATGAGAGTTGCTTTAGGAAGAGTGTAGGGAGAAAAATGCATTAGTATTGAGATAAGACAAAACTAACCTTATATAATGCACAACGTTGGTCATAATTCAAGTTTTTCTCATTTCTAATATAAGACATCACTGGATCTTGACTATCAATGATTCCTCTATCAAAGATTGGTTCCTGAATAAGAAAACATTTGATAAAAGAAGACCATTAGTCACAGGAGAAAAAACAATACCATTGACCACAAAAACATTTTAGTATAGTACATTTTTCATAGAATACACATGCATAAGAAAAGTTTGCATTATTACAGCGTCATCCTTAGAGAAAACAGGGAATATGAAAACATGTTGCTTCGCCAAAAACCAAACAAAATAGAAGAAAATGTCTATAACGGACAGAATGTCTGAAAGTTCAATGCCCTAGTTTCCATGGTAAATATCCTACCTAAAAAGAAAAGGGCAAGTAATATGTACAGTTATACAGTGGTACTAGTCACCTTCTTGAAAATAGACTTTTGTACCCCTTGCAAAACCTGCCCCTTATGAAAAGCATTCATTACTACTACAACATCATACAAAAGAAAAGAACAAATTATGTTTATATATATATATATATATATATGGGGAATGATATCATGTCACCATGTCATTGTAATATAATGAAACAACCATTCTAGAAAACCATGTTTGTAGTATTTGTATGACACCAAATTTTAACCATGTTTGTAGTATTTGTATGACACCAAATTTTGTACACATGCTCTCTTCATCCCAATAATCAATTCCAAATAATAATAATAACAATTTGCACCCTAGATATGGTCAAAATGAGTGCCCTCCAACAATGAATCTAGACCATCCATTTGGTGAATTTCAAGATCTAGCCCTTTACAAATTCAAAATCAAAATTTCTTTTTTACCATGGTTAATCTAATGATACGAAAACAATCCAAAAAATTTGGAAAGAAAAAAAATCCTTGTAAAGCCTAGATCTAAGCATCTCATTAAAATGGATGGCCTATATTAATTGGGCTAAAAAACCAATTCATAGGGTGTGTTTTCAAATTTTGTTTTTTCGTGATTGTTTATTGGAATTAAAAGAGTGTATATCTAAAAAATAAAGTTAAATAAATAGCTCTAACATGGTTTTTAAAGATCCTTTCATTATATTTTTACTATAGAACCATTGTATGAAATCACTCTCCATATATATATATATATATGGAAGCCACTGCCCAATGCCTATTGGCAAATATGAACATCACCGTCTCACAAAATCGGACAGCGTGCGTTTTTCGACCGCCACAGATCTAGCATGTCCGTGGAGGTACCATCATGGACATGCTAGGTCCGTGACAGTAAAAAATTCAAGTGGAACAACAATGGACGGCGCATCGTCCGTTGCCGGTCCGTTCAATGAACCGCTACAGACATAGCAAGTCTGTGGCGGTGGCAAAACACAGTAGCACTTCGCCTATAGGCGTTTTTAAGGTTTTTCCTATATATATATATACACACACACACACACACACACACACACACACACACACACACACACACACACACATACACACATAATTTTGTTCCAAATAACACCCCTCTTAGGAATATTTCCACTCTTTGACCATTCCAGACTATGTAATCTTAATAAATTTAAAATTTAATACGAATATATACCCTTAAATCAATTTGTCTGTTTAAATCAATCTCCCTTAGACAAATATCATAAGGCATTCTAGACATATGACTATCATGCCCCTTATATTTAAAAAAGCAACAAATTTTTTAACTGGTACTATTGTGTCATCCTAGTATATTAGTGACAAGGCCTTTTTGAAACCATATAGCTCCCATAAAGGCTTCCCAAGGGCAAATAAGAAAACCATGAAGTTGTTTTACATCCTAAAAAGAAAAAACGTTATAAAGATCCCGGGGGAGCTCCTTATCTTAACATAATGACGTCCTAAGACAAACAAGGAAGTAGCATTATTATGCCACCAACTACAATGGACATCTTTTATGAACAAGGCTTTTATTCCCCTATTTCCCATTGTGGTGCTCATATACTGAAATCGATGACACCTCTATTTGTTAAGGTACTTGTGTAGGAACTACAAACGTTGGTTGATTTATGTAACAAAATGATCATCAATATATTTCATTCAAGACCATGAATCTTTTGGGAAGCAATGATAGTTTGGATCCATTTCCTTCTCACCCTGCCACATGAATGACAAACCACTAAGAAACTAGAAGGCATGGCAAAGTGACAAGTACAGACTGACCTTGAGATCAACAATCATATTCCTTAGATGAGAACTTTGGGAATTAGGCAGAAACAGCTGCATCAAATTAGACCTTCAAGGAAGCAACATGTAGAAAATGTAAAGTTCCGTAGGTTTCAAGACCATTCATTTGAAATTACAACTCATGTAAAAACAACTTTAGAATTTGCACAGGAAAGCACAGATAGTTATGATCATAGGATATACCTCATAAGAGTACAAGAGAAAGAAGTTTCATCCTTGTCAATCCGCCATATCTCCTGAAAGATTTCAGCATTATTTGAGGATGATTTGCTGCCCGGAAGCCTTAAACGGCGAGACAAAGACACCTGGAATGTTTAGAGTAACTGTGCTCAAATGATCTCTCTTAACAGTGGAGACATTAGATGGAAAACCATCAATGTACAGCAAGTGATACTCTAGTTAGCAATTGAAATAAATCACATGGTAGAATTCAAGATTATTGATGTAAATGATCATTTACCAAACTCATAAAACACATGCAAAAAGAAATAAGGATAGATATATAAATAAAGTATCGCTTACAGAAACATAAAAAGGGCCGATGTCATAAATCAACCCACTTGCAATTGCTAAACGCCCTGATTCAGTACTCAATATCTACATGAAAAAGAAAAGGTCAATAAGCATTTGCAGAACACAATGACTTTCTTCAAGTACACATGCATTGCCTACACAAGAAATGAGAAACATGCATACTCTGTTTCGTTGCAAATGCTTTGGATGAAACATGCAATCTTTGGTGTAATGTATTTAATGCATGCACATTGAAAGAACAAGAACAACGTATAAGCTTTTTTTTTTTTTTTGAGAAAGTTAACCTATGTATTGAGTGAAAGTAGTATACAAAAAATCGGCCACCCACAAGTCAGGCGCTCAATGGCAAAAACCCTTACGGGTACAAAAAACTATACAATCGTTATACACAGACCATAAGGCCACAAAGGTGTTGAAGAAATGATCAAACCCAGGTGTGGGCTCGTTAAGATAGTTCAAGAGCCTATCGACAAGGTCCCATGGGGTTTGGAACCATTCGCTCCCTCTTTAGCGAGGGCATCCGCAATGGAGTTTGCCTCCCTCATGGTGTGCGTTCAGACAATATGCAAGTCCGTGCTCCGGTAAAAAATCTCATCAAAACGTGATCGAGCCTCCTAGGGCACGGGCCAGATCTAGAGGCCCAAGTGATGACATTAGCAGCATCCCCTTCGATCATCAAAGAGTTACCCCAGGTTCTATAAAAGTATCTAAGACCAAAGAGGATGCCAAGTTTGAGTCAGTGAGGCCTAAGAAGTGCGAAAAGGAGAATAAGGTTCGCCAGTACTGTCTCGGAAAACCCCTCCGATGCCCGAAGGGTCGGGGTTGCCTAGGGAACATCCATCGAAGTTAAACTTAATTTGTCCATTGGCAGAGAGGGACCAAAGAGAGGCCCGAGGGATTTGGGAAGGCTTAAGGAAGAGTAAGGCCCACCAGCTTTGGTGGAACTCCGCGAGCCAGAGGTGTCTAAAAATTTGTGGTTGCTCGCCCAAAAGATGACCAGCGACCGCAACTTTTCCAATAGAATATGAATGGCCCATCTGAACCAGGTATGAGACCACCCAAAAAGACGAAGGATGGAGCCCCAAAGTTGGAAGGCGAGCTTGCAATGCAGGAAGAGATGGGCATTGGATTCAGCATTGTTACGGCAAATGATGCACCAGTGGGGGATTTGCATTCCTCTCCTTGGTAGTTGTTCTGCAGCCAAGACCCTCTCGTGGATTCCGACCCAATTGAAGAACTGTATTCTTGGGGGAACAAGAGAAAACCACACTTTGCCCACTGAAGTTGGATGGGTGGATCTGAGGACACTGTAGAAAGAGGAGACAGAGAAAACACCTGAAGGGCCAGGGGTCAAAACTATCTTATCCAAACCCGATAGAGGGAGAAAGAAGGAGTGGAGTAGGGCCTGCAGCTTTAGGCAGTTCAAGGTCGTTATGGGGCCTTCTGAAGTTTGGGGACCATACCCTCCCAAGGGCTGAGGGTTCGAAATTCTTAGCGAACAAGGATTGGGGGTTGATGGCCAAGCGGAAGAGAGAGGCGAAAGAATCCTTAAGGGGAGCATGTTCAATCCAAGTATCTGACGAGAAAGCAATTTTGTCCCCTACTCTTGGTCGGAAGCGGAAGTTGGCCGAAAAGCGATTGAGACATGATAAGAATCCCTTCCAAAGACTTGAGGCATTACTAGGGGCCCCACTGCTAAGGAGCCAAGCATTAGGGGGGGCACCCATATTTATGTCGTACCACCTCTTGCCATAGATGGTCACTCTGGACTGCGAATCACCACCACCATTTGCCAATGAGGGCAGCATTGGTATCTCTGAGTCTACGAATGCCCAGGCCTCTTTAGACTTTTGGGCACAAACTTTATCCCAGGCTATAAGGTGGTATTTCCTACCTTCAGTGCCGGACGAGCAAAAGTTTCTCATTAGTTGTTCTTGGTGATTAGCCATTGAGGCCGGGATCAAGAAGATGGACATTTGATAGATGTGGATGCTTGAAAGGGTTGTCTTGATAAGGGTAAGTTTCCCCACTGTGGTGAGAAATCGGCCTTTCCACCCCACGAAGCGTCTGTTGAGCTTATCGATTATGTGAGACCATTGCCTAGCTTTAGGTTTACCGATGCCCAAGGGCAGTCCTAAATAAGAGGAAGGCAAGGGTTGTGCTCTGCAGCCCCAAAGATTGGGCAGATGAGTGACTGATTTAAGGCTTATGACCACCCCCATTATAGTCGTTTTATCAAGGTTGACTTTGAAACCCATGGCCCATTGAAAGCACCTAAGAAAAGGCACAAGGTGTCTACCTATTTTGGGTGGGCATCGCAAAAAAGAAGGGTGTCGTTGGCATATTGAAGGTGGCAGATGGTGGGCCCTCTAGTACTAGCCTGAAACCCCCTTACAAGGCCATCACAATACAACCCCGATATGGAGGAGCTGAAAACCTCATCTGCCATGGAAAAGAGGAAGGATGACATGGGGTCCCCTTGCCAAAGGCCCCTCGAAGATTGGAAGAGCCCCCTGGGGGATTCATTGGAAGGCGCAACGTATAAGCTATTTTCAAGTATATCATTTTGCAAGGTCCACAACTTTCAAATAATGAATATTGGCAATTTTGTTATATTTTAAGCAACAAAATTTTGCAGATTAAGGGTTCAGAATTGTAAAAGGCACACCAATAAAATCCTACAAAATATACAAATAAATGAACATAGCTGATGTTATATTTTGGCTGTACTTAGATAAGACAGAATAAATTTCAATCTACTTAAAACAAAGGAATGTATGCCCCAGGATGAAAAGAATAATAAAATAACCTTACTGGTATTACATCACAAATAGAACAGACAATCAAAATTACCTTCCAAGGGAAACCATACAATGAACAATACAAAAAGTAAAAAGACTACCGTACAAATGTAAACATGGAGGCATCATAACGAACACAGAGCATTTAGCACCCCCCCTCATTACACACGTCAGACATCGTAGGAGAGGATTTTGTGGCCATGTCATTTCTTACTCCAACAAGAGTGAACCAAGAACCACATGGTGCCAGGTGACCAATCTACTAGTACCAGGAAAGTTTCCAGCAGTATCCCCCATGAAGATAAAGATGTAACTTAACATTTAAATCCCCATTAAAAATAGGAATAAAAGATCCCCTATCATATCCCGAAATGCAAATTATAATGTGCAAATACATTTCAAATCAAGGATAGTAAAATATTCAATAAAATAGTGGTTTGAAGCTCTTCTAGGTTTCAATATTCATTTTTCATTCTTACTAACCAAAAGAAAGGAACACTAAAAAAGCAAGACAATTATTCAAGGCAAAATCATGGTAGATTCAGTGCCACCAACTCCTCCCATCAAAAGATTATATCTATTTGGCAAACCGGATATCATGGTGCTGAAGATAATTGGAAATGAGAATCATTTCCCCTACCATGAAGAGAAATGGAAAGCACTTTGGGCGGAACCAAATCTACCTAATGATACCGGAAATGCCAAACCCTACTCCCACTTTTGGTTGTTTTTGCTAACCCTCCTTGCACACAATCGTACTGTAAAAGTGTTCCCACTAAGCAGTTCCAGATCTTGTTTACCTCCCTAAATCCCTGTTTATTCAGTAAGATACGCAGCATATTGTTGCCATGCACAGGTATACAATGAGCACACAGCACAAAACAGTATTTCACAACATCCCAAGCTATCCCATGTGCAATATGACAGCTGGAGTGTCATTGCTATGATCAAAATCCGTCAAATGTTTTAATGACTTGGAGAGGAGGAACTACACACCCCACCCAGCCTTCAAATTCCACATCTGATGGCTTGGGAAAATGGATTTGTGTAGGAAAAATGTAGCACTAATTGTAGATGATCTCAGTTGCCATTATTTATTTGCAAATTTAAATACTATATTAATCAACAACAGTTTAAAATGTGTTAACAAGTGAGGTTAATATGAAATCAGCACGTGCACAATTTATTGGACTGTGATTAAAAGTAAGCCAAGCAATCAGCAAAGAAAGTGCAAATAACTATTTGCTGGAAAATCAGCTCAATCAGTATGAAATTCGTAAACCAAAACTCTGCATTTCATTGAAAGAACATCGAGATGCTCTATTAAAATTTCCACATGGACATTGAGTACCATATTCGAAACAAAAACAGTATGAGATACAATAGAAGAATGATACCACATGGTCACCACACTTGAGAGCAGAATTCAGCACACTGGCTAGAGACATTGTTGAAGTAGAATCCAAGTTATCTTTTTTATCCATTTCCGATCTGTACAATGAGAAGTCTCGGCGAATAAAACGATATATGAATTGACCATCACTAGAAGCTTCCGATGGAGAAATGCCATTCGAAACATCAAGAATTAGTGAAGAAATGCAACCACCGCTACGTTCTCTACTACAACTATCCATTCGCCAAATTTCGCTCCTCACAACCTATGTTTAGGAAGCTGATCGTCAGAATACGACATCAAAACATATGCTGGATTCTACATCATATATATGTGCGCTACTTCGTGTCTGTGTGTGTGTACAAGTGAGTGAGTGTGAAAAGGTGCAGACCTGGGACTCTTTGGCTTCCAAGTCAATCAGTCGATCCCACTGACGAAGGAAATTACACTGAACCTCAGTCAATTGTCCCACATTTGCATTGAATAAATCTCCAAGTCCACTGCTCTCCATGTTGCCACCATGCGCCTACAACATTATGCCACGTCAAAGTTCTTTTTCCAGAACTTTCTGAGAGAGAACAGAAAGTTCTTACCCTCCAAAGAAACGTGCCTTAAAGTAATGAACCTTCTATAAGTGAACCATCAAAACCTACTTCTGTAGAATATCAAGGATAGTGGACAGTGATTTTTCTAGCACATCCAAAACCTACACTAAGGGGAGAAGTACATTATTTGTTTTCCAAGTAGCCAATTAAAATTTGCACAAAAGCAGTTTCATAACTGCCAGCAGAATACCTTTCAGTTACATGAATATTCAATTAGGTACTACAGAAAAACAACTCTACAAATTATAAGACTATTTTTTTTTGAAAGATTACAAACGATAAGACTATTGAACTCCATAGATGGAGTCTTAAACCTGGAATGCGATTTCATATGACCTAACTTTGGAAGAATCGGAAAATGAGACATAATGGGCACCACTATGAAATGCCGTTTCCAGCAAATTATCCATATTGGCAATCACACAAGCTGGTTGATTGCTTCTTGCAAAATATGTTGGACAGACCATAATTATCATGAACGGGAACATGAGGAGTTTCGAGGACGGGAACGGGACTGCAGAGCGAGTCTATGTCAAAGTTCCCTAGACAGCGGAGCGAGCTTCGTACATGGTCCAGGGAAGGGAACAAGTTCCAGGACTTCTAGGGAGTGCATTTCTATATGGACGGGAGTGGTTGTGCCATTCTTAGGATCGGGGTTTCCAGAGATCACTATTTCAAGTATATTGTAAACTGGGAGCGAGTTCCATTTTTTGGTATGTCAATAATGGGCTCTTGGGTGGATAGGGGGAGTGGGCAAGAGAGCGGGGGGAATGGATAGAGGAGCGAAGTACTATGGATTATGCATCTTTTCTACCAAGGATGTGCTCTAATCAACCCCAATCCCCAAGAATGTGATACCAAACATGAATATGAAGATATGGTTGCTTTTCTTCTTTTTTTTCCCTCCCTTTGCTTATAGGATTAAAGTGATTAACTTTAGTAGATTGGCGAGAAAAGTCATTGAGTATTTAAGATGGTGTGATTTCTTAGTGTCCAGGGCTGCTGGCCCTTTCACATTATTTGGATTCATTTTCTTTATGCACGAACAGTATGCATGCCACCACCAATGGCTGTCCACCCACTGTCACCCTTGCATATCACACCCGAGTTGATAAACGTCCACATAATGATGGTACACAAACACAACATGATCAGTTCAGTATTACAATACAATTATAGTTTACAATGTGCAACCCATTCAGACTATACTCGAAGACTTGAACATAATATTAATTTATTTCATTAGAAATTCACCATTATTGTGCAACGCATCAACAAATTGTGTAACACATCCTTTTTACTGTAATGAAGTGTATTGATCGTGACCTCACTTCACAATAAAATTGCAACATGGCTAAATTTTGAACGTCCTTCCAATCTTGTCCCTACTCTAGTTCCCTGTCTTTAAAATTGGACACAAAAGTCATTGCAAAATGCGTGTGTGGTAGAAAATTTGAGGAAAACCAAATACTATATACGCATAAAATAAACTTTATAGGTGCATCTCACTTCCATGGTATAGGATACTCGGTTCTTGGTAAGACAGAACTGTGGTTCCGAATGATATTGGGGCCATGATCTTGGGCATGCGAATCTCGATCTTGCTTGCTGGGGACCTCATTCCCAAATAATAGGAATCGCTACTGGAACACGCATAAAATCAAATAATAGTTGAGTTCCCATAACTCCGGATATGAGATCTGAATAAGCAAGAAAGTGCCTGGAATCGAGATCCAGTCACTCGGAGCATGGGATCGAGATTCCAGGGCAAAAGCGGACCCCTACATGAGCACTCATGGTAACTATGGGACAGACTAGTCCAGACCATCTAATTAAGTAATAATCCATAACATGTCCCACCATGTGGACACTTTAAGAGAGCACCCTGCCTATGTTTAATAGCCGTGAAGAAAAAAAAATTGCTTGATTGTTCAAGAAGAAACATATGTTAGTTTTCACTGAGAGCTTGCATATCTACATTTCCATTATAATTGAACAATGCAATAGTTATAATAGGGTTTTAAGGCCAAAGGAACATTGGGACTTCTGAATAAATGATGAAACCATATCTACATTTCCATTATAATTGAACACTGCAATAGTTATAATAGGGTTTTAAGGCCAAAGGAACATTGGGACTTCTGAATAAATGATGAAACCAGTCATGAGTCTACAACTAGCCTAAAGAAGAAATGATGGGCGGAACTGGGGGTTGACACTATCTTTGGATACATCACTTGCTTGTATGTAATGGGAATTTTGGTTTTCTTTGTGGGGCTTTACTTCTCTGCAAATTCTAAATGTTTTTAGAGTTAGTTAATGTTTTGTTGGCTTTGAGAATCTTCAAATTCAGGGGACTTTGCATTCCAGATTATTATATGTATCAATTATGGAAGGCCAAATAGGCAATATTTGTACTAGAGCTAAGAAAAGTCTAGGTTCAATGTACCTTGGAGGACATGTTAGGGGTCTATTTAAGTGTATAATCATTTTTATAAAGACATTGTGGAGCCACAAAAATTTAGTGTTGCCGGAATTTTTGTTTTGTTCATTGTTTACTTGGTGGAATTTATCTCTCAGGCTTAAAGACAAAGCACCTTCCTTCTTTAGAAGCTCTTGAATGGTGGTTTGAATATGCCACCAAGAAGATCTCGTGGAGCTGTGATGGCCAACTGATGGAGAGGTGAGGAGCTGCAACAACTTAGGAGACAACTAGATTCACTTTGAGTAAAGAGAGATGTTCAAATACAATGAGATTAGAACCTTGGAAGATCAACAAAGGGATTTGTTGATAATCCCTTCTACACATGCACTGCATGAAGAGCCAGAGTTTCCAGATCGAAAATCAAATATATTTAGTCCTTGAGAAGAACTCATGACTTTTAGAGTTACAGGTGAAATACCTGAGTTTCAAAGTTACCTTCAGCCAAAGGATTGACAAGAACCACTTATTCGAGCCTATATTTGCGATACTTATCTCAAGAAAAAATGGCATTATCATTTGCAGCACCCATAGAGGAAAAGCTGGTCGATTGTGATAAACCACCTATCCGTGATGAAGTGAACAATGAACAGCCTAACAAAAATCTCATATTTTACTTTGAGAAAGATTTTTTGACAAGATTTACACTCTTAAAGCTCAATGTGGGTATTAAAACCGTTGACCCATTCCCAAGTGATAACTATGGATACTCAAGGATAACACAAAAAAACCATATTGAAAACATTTTGACAACTTCAATCTATATAAACATCAGCCAGATTCTGAATGGAGAAACCTAATTAATTATACAGAAAATTTGAATAGGAATCATCTTAGACAGGCTTCAAATTGTCACTCTAAGAATAGGAGCGCCAAACTGAAAGGAGAGTAAGGGTTCTAAGATTCAGAGAATAGTAGCAAAAGAATTTAGAATGTCTGCATTCATCACTTAATAATATACCAGTGTATATAATTTTGCTAGTAATGGAGGTTAGAAAAACGAAACTTGAGAATGATATCAGTCATGCTGGACTTACATGAACTTACTTTACAAACTTACAATTATAGGAGTCTTAGATACGATAGCTCCTGAGCTTTGAGTTCAGATTTCTCGCCATAGCTGCATGAGTTAGCTTTTTACTAAAATTTGTATTTCAAAACAACTTTATTGTCTGATGTATTATATGTCTCTTTGTGGTCTTGTAGGACCACACCCCCTTTTTTCCTACCTTTTACACTTGATCTCCCACCATTTATTGCTTTAATTATTATTATTATTGCTTTTTTCTTTTTCTCAAGCTCTCTCACCACGTTTCTCTAGTAGCATGTGTTGTCCAACATGTGTTTGCCACTTTGACATGTGGCATCTATAAGACTTACATTAATGACCCTCTTGATACATGTTTGGTGAGGTATCTCTTCTCATCTTTTTGTATTTAAGGCCACCCCACCTTCTCTCGAGCTACTTCTTCTTTTTCACACATTTTGGAGGTACGAAACTCTCACACTCTCTCTGAAACCGATATTGCTCTCTCTCTTGCTTTTATTACAGTTGTGTTTTTCCCTTCAAATGATCCATGTCCAGGTACTCTGTAAGAGTAGTACATATTTATTCGAGCCTTTTGGGATGAGAGAGAATATAGAGAGAAGTACCAAATGAGAAGAGAATTTATGCCATGAGAGAAAAGTGAGGTACGGGGAAGAGCTAGTGAGGTACCATACTCCTCTCTAGTGACAGAAAGAGCTAGATGTGGGCGAGCTACCATACTCTTTTGGGTGTACTCTCTCTATTGAGAGAAAGGATTGTTTTTGAAGCTTTGTTCTCTCATTTTCAGGTAACATTTATTGTTATAAGCTCTTTAATTTTTCCTGATCGATGTCTGTATTACACCAATTGGATGATGTTTGTGTTATGAGAGAAATCTTGTTCCAATTGATGCTTGTAGCATTATACCAATTGGAAAAACATATCAGATTTTAGACTGTGGTTTTGTATGGGTCTTTTGAGTATCCAACTCAGAGACGCAAGAATTTGTTTTCGATCTAGCCGTATCCAGGGAGGGTACTCGTCGGGACCCGTTTGCACCTTGGAATTTTATCCAGACAGGGGCGTTTAACACTTCGAAGAAAGCAAACTCCTCTCGTGCCTCCAAATCCCTTTAAACTTGGTCCCGATTATTTAGGAGTTCATGTCCATCGTGATGTCTTGTAAACCATGGTGAGACCCCCAATAACCAACAATTTCAAAGTGTTAAAGCATAAGTTTTTCTAGAGATGTCTATTGATGACTCGCTAACTTTAAGTACCAAGATAGTGTAAGGCCAGATCCCCGGATATTCTCAGCCACTTTTGTTTACCTCCGAATCCGGCTCTAATTCTTACAGATTCCGACTGGTACTAAGAGAGTTTGGTTTCCAGATATAACCTCTGAAACATGTT